ACCCACCCCCCTGCCCCCTCCCTTACTCAATGGGCACTGTGCTGCAGGTGTATACTAGGTGTAACCAAGAAGAAAGTGGCGCTTCCAGATTGCGCTCTCGCTTAAACACTCCTGTGAGCGCCGACGGCGAAAAAGGCGTATCATCACAATGGTGGGTGTCTCAGCTAAACGAGTTAATCATGCAGAGCAATGGCCTCAACAGAAAGGAAGCGTTAACAAGGGTAAAACGACCACACGATCATTTACTGTGCAACATACGGTGTGCTACCTAGAGTCTGTACTATGTCCTCGTTGAATGAGCGTGTTTCAGATGAATATGCAGTTAGCTGCTGAAAAGCTGCAGCTAGGTATTAGTGACGACAATATCGGACTCCAGTCCCCGTGTCGGTTGACATTCAATCCGGTAAGTGCGCCTGTCTGGACGACCCTTATTGGGCCCATCTGGACGTATGAGGACGATTCTAGTTTGGCCCATCTGGATGGTTGGACGTATGAGGACGATCCTAGTGAGGACGATCCTAGTTAGGACGATCCTAGTTTGGCCTATCTGGATGATCTCGGTCGGTACAAGTGGTGGTACATTGAGTGGTGATAGCACGTTGTGTGTTTTAGGGAGCCGCTCTGATATGTTTCGACCCGCACGAGAAGCCGAGGAGAATTAAGGAGAATCATAGAAAGCATTTTCACCACTTTCTGCAGCAGCAGCAGCAGCAAGAGAGGTGACAAATTTTTTTATGTTTTCACAATACTTCCGTGTGGAGTACTGGTGTGCCGAGAACGAGTGGGCCCTGTTTGGACCGCTCATTCAGGCGAGCATGCCGTTGGAGCAAGTCCCGATTACTGTGGCTTCTTTAAAACAATGTACGTATGAACATTTGTTGAATGTATAGTTGTTTTGTATAGCATCCCCGTCTCGTGAGATTACTTTGTCCCAATTGAATTTGAACTGGGAGAAAGGTCGGTCAAATGCCGTTGAAGAAGAACCTACGGTTGAAGCCAGTGACGAAATGTCCGACTATGCCCAATGGCTCAGGTATTGCCCATATTTGATCACTGACAGGCCAGTGTTAAGCGTCTATCTATTCTCCGCAGCCAGTAGTAAGACTCTCCCGACACCGTTCTACGACCGACCATTGCGACTTGGTCGAACGACTTAGTGGTTCGACCAAGTCGTGAACGACTTAGTGGTTCGACCAAGTCGTGAACGACTTGGTCGTTCGGCTTAGTGGTCCCCGCCACAGGGCTCCACGTTGGTTTCGATTGCCCGTTCGTTGCTTCCACGTCGGTTGGCTGGTTGGTTGGCTGGCTCCACCTTGGTTAGGTTGTTCTAGATCCCATGTAGACTTACTACGGCAGTTCGTTAGGTGAGTATTTCAGGACTACGGTTCGGCCTGGGTTGAAAACATGGTTGGATGAGAGAGATGAGGGAAGTGAGGCAATGATCGTGGCTCTTTGCCCTCAGGAGGTCTCGAAAGGTGGATCTGAGTCTCCGGATGCGAGGTTATATAGGAAGGCTTTTGAAAAGTTCAAGGCAGAAATCGACTTGTTGGTGTCGGGTTCTCGATGCGGCAATGTAAGAGTGTTTCGGCTGCCGGTGCCGAAAGACTCGACTGGAGTGGTGGGCAAAGGGGCCCGGGGTCGTGAGGGCGACCCTTTGATGCTGGAGCAGTGGGATAAGCTAATTGAGGCCTTAGGGGATTTGGTGAGTAGCGGAATAAGCTCCCGGTTGGCGGAGGAAGTGCGACGGAAAGAGAAGCTGCAGTCGACCGGAACTCTGGCCAAGTACACAGCGGTCTTCAGCGCAGCCGAGCACATCTCTGCCTCGCTCTATCGCTGTGGCTTAGTCGTTGAGGCACTTTCCGTGTACGACAGTCTTGATATCAAACTGCAAGACGACTCCACGAACGGGAAGCGATATAGGACCCTGTTCTTCTCCAGCGGCCTACCTCAACTAGGAGGCAGCCAGCCCATTTTGTTGTTAAACAAAGACGACGTCATCGGCAAATTGCTCTTGCCAGATACAATCACCTACGTTGAATTCCGACAGTACCTTATCAAAAGACAATGCCAATTACTATTCGCTCTACGGAAGACAGATCGACTTATATCTCGGTTATTATCTTTTCTCAAATCGTTTGCTCTAGAATTCGTTGATTTAAGCAGGAACGCGTCCAAAGACCCAGAGGCGTACTCAAGAATGTTCTTGTTACAACTCGAATACTCAATTATACCCTACATTCAGGCTTTAAACAATGTTGAAATTAAGTCTGTCGCTCCATCCGAAGACGTACTTCTGGCCTGCTCACAACTGTACTCACTCGCACTGGAAAACTTCTGGTGGCTCATCAATTGGAGGATCAAAGACAAGGTATGATCGACACACATGCCGCACTACAGATGCACACGTATGCACATGTCACACTACAGATGCACACGTATGCACACGTATGCACATGTCACACTACTGATGCATACGCCACAGATGCATACGGAACACGCACGTATGTATGCAACATACTTAACGTATGCGCAATCAACATAGTTGACGTATGCGTGGATAACAGCGTGCACACACACGTGTATGCAAGCGTCTGTTTCTAGCAACACCCACGTCTGTTTAGTGGCATTCTTTGACGGGAATGAGGAATGAATCGCCGCCGTCGGCGTTCAAGGCGGCGTACGTAACCTCCAACGACTTGGTGGTTGCGTTATGTTCGCTGGAGTCTGCTTTGGAGGCTGAACAGACGTTGTTCGCCAAGTCGCTCAGTTACGCAATGGATAATGGATTGGAGCGGTCGGTGGTGTGTTTCAAACTGTCTGAAAATCAGATGATGCGCAGTCTGCAGGAGCGGGTGAGCAGTGAGGCGAGCAAAGACGACCAGTGTGTGGTCCGGAAGAAGTGGTTTTCGGCTTTGGGTGTTGCGGCTACGGAATCGCGTGCTGCAATTTATACGAGCCTTTTGTGCGAGGGCGCGAATTTAGACATCAACCCTCTGCTACAGCGGTCGATCGGGCCTTTTTTGTCTTACCTGCTTTTGGACCAGCGACTTGACCCACACGTGCGGAAGATGATCGCAGACACGGTCGCAGGACTCGACGAGACCGGCTCTATGGAACTGCCCGCCTCACCTGTGCTAACCTGCTCTGTGGATGTCCGTATGGCCACCGATGGCTCTTCTTGTCTCTCAGGTAGCGACAAAGGCAACCCGCTTAAAGAAGCCGTAACTGAAACAAAGCTTGTACAAGCATTCCTTCAAACGTTTGCCCTCGAGATCAACCCGTCCTACCAAATAGACGCCAGAGCCCGCATTCCGAACCCCTACACTGTCGTCTCCAAGTCCCCCTTTGCAGAATCAAAGTCCAGCACTTCGCCCGGTTCCTCGTTTCTGCCAGACAAAGTTTGCCTCGCAGCTCTTGGAGCCAGCGGTAGTCTTGGACCTAGCGGTAGTCTTGGATCCAGTGGGATAGGGACCGGGGCGGTGTTTCAGGCGCGCAGTTTTCGGAAGTTGGCTCTACCGAAGGTAAACAGTCGTGGCATACATAACTTCCCGCCCCGGGGACTGGAGAAGACCTCGATTCCTCTCGGATCCAAAGTATATATCCAAGTGGCCTTGGAATCGCACGCTGTGGTGCCTCTGACGTTCAGCAAGATGAGCGTCGCATTCAGCCTCTCCAACGTCTCCGTGTCGCACCTCGTCGCCTCCTCCACCAGCTCACTACTCTCCATCAAACGGGGGCTCAACGTGGGTGGCAGCCAGCTCAACTACGCGCTCTGCTTCACGGTGAACGAGACATTCGTCCTCCAGCCGGGCGAGCTGCTGCTTGTGGAAATACCGTGGGTCTGCGTCGTGCCCGGCAAACTTTGGCTCTCTAGTGTCAAGTTGTTTCCCCACTCCCCTTCTAGTCCCCTCAAACACGGCAGTACCCCCGACGACAGTATCCCCAACGGCAGTGCACCCGACAGTGGTGGCACTGGCGAAGGTGTGCCCGACGGTCGCGACTCCCACGGTCGTGACCCCGACGGTCGTGACGCTGACGGTCGTGACCCCGACGCTGACGGCGGTCTGAAGCACTGTTTGAGTGGTGTGGACGGCTGTTTGAGTGGTGTGGTGCTGTCGGCGGATTTGTCCATCATGGACAGTTTACCTTTGCACCACTTGATGGCGTATGAGCTGAGTCTGCGGGGGAAGCTAAGCCGGGCCTTCCAGGCAGGCGCGCTGGAGCGGATGTGGAAGAGCCCAAGTTTACTGGACGTGACGACCGCGCGACGGTACTTCACGATGCAGTTCCGACTGGTGGGGGACTTTGCGGTAGTTGGCGACACGGCAACATTGATCTTAACCATTGTAAGTAACGATGGGTTTGTGTTGGAGCAGCCGCCAAAGATCCCAATTGTGGCCACGGCGACGCGGAAGGGTCATTACGACCGTCACTTGGACGACCGTCACCCGGACAGGGGTGGCGTGGAGAACCGGACTGGAGACGCGACCGGTGACCGGACTGGAGATCGGGGCGGAGGTATGGACAGGGGCGGCGTGGAGAAGACTACGGTTGGTGGAGTGGAGAAGGGTGGGATGGAGAAAAGTAGACGGGGAAAGTCGGGATTGCCGTTTAAGATTAGCATAATTTGGAGTCAGACGAAAACGATTTCGTTGGATAACAAGACGTTGAGTGAACCTTCGTGTCGAGTGTTGCCTATTGCGAGCGGCGGTGAGGTGATGTTGTCTTTGCCAGTGTTCCAAAAGTCAATTTCTGTGCTGGTACCGATCTTGATTGAGCAACGGGCGGCGACACCTTTTGTGGAGAGTGTGGCCCGTTTGGGTGCGCCTTCGCCAGGTCGGGCAGTAAGTGCGGCACGATGCAATTCAGCAGATGCGCAGTCTTCGGCCTCCCCGCGCAAGTTGCGGGCAGCAGGGTCGCGGTATGAGAGTCAAGTCACGGAACGGCGCGCGGCCATTTTGATTCCCGCACACGCGCGAAGTCCGACCGTGACCTCGGCGGGATTGCGACACACGTCCTACGAGTTGTTCGAGACGCCCACTCTCTCGCCCCGGTCCACATGCCCCACACAAGCCGCCGAGCTCACTGTAACCTCTAAAATCAAGGCACTCGTCGGCATCAATCTCGGACCTGCCGAACCCGAACACCAATTAACCACCGAACGCGCAGAACTCGCCGCACTTCCCGCCCTCTGGGACGCCCACAACGCCGGCAGCCCGCGGGCCGGCAGCCCACGGGTCGGTGGCTGTGCGCGGTTGCGGCCGGGCTTCGCGCAAACCGAGCTCAGTTTCGCCAGTCCATTCCTTGGTAGCCCGCGTCCGTCGACCCTTTCCGCTCACGCCAGCGCACCGGAACGCTCTGTCCTCGTCGAAGAAACCGGCACCATCACCATCCCCGTCCGTCCTGGTCTCGAAGCAGACCGTTTCGTCGTCGCAGACACCAGCACCCAGTACGCTGAAAAACTCAGCGTCTACTGGCGCGGCCAAGGCGCCATCCGCCTCACCAAACTCGTCCTGCAACCACCGTACTGCGAACCTCCCGGCCCTGACGTCCCGGCGGTGACGCATAAGTTCCCTCGGATCCAGACACACGTTCTTGACGCCAAGGAGTACCTCGAGCAAGGCAACCTGCACATCGAGTTCCCTGAGACCGAGCGCATCACCCTCAGCGGCGCCTGCCCCCTCGACCTGATGCTCCTCGTCGACCTCGCACCCTCGGACCCCACCCCCACCGGCACCACGGATCTTGCCCCCGCGTCAAACTCTGGTGAAAACTGCGCCGCCACCGCGAATTGCGCCCCAGACGTACCAGGCTCAGGTCCGCACACGTCCGGCGCTCAGACGTCCGCAGCGGCACTTGGCGAGACGCCGTCGCAGGAGTACGTGTTGGAGCTGCACTACGAGACGCCGGATAGTAAGCCGTCGCGGAGGCGGGCACGAACCAATCGGCTGAACTTGTTGTTAGATTTGCCGTCGGCTCCGAAGCCTCTGACGATCGACCGGATTCGGCACCCGTTAGCGACGAACTTGGGGCAGAGCACGTTGATCGAGATGCAGCTGACCAACACCACGGGCTGCTGCGCCGCCGTGTTGTACAACCTCGCTCTGCCCTTCGACACCCCGCTCGACGCTAGCTTCTTCGCCGCCGGCGAACGCGAACCCGAACAAACTGCCTCTTGGCAAGTCCTCGGCTTCAAGTGCCGCCAACTCCATGTACCCCCCAGGTCAAGTGTCACCGTCACCTTCAACCTCATTGCCGCCGTTCCCGGCACTCTGCCTCTACCCCCCATCCAACTCTCCGGCACCCTCCTTCCCAACGCCGCCCCTGACCGGCCCGCATCCGCCGACGACAGACCCGCCAAGGCACTCAGGCCCCAAGGACACCCCATCCAGCTCAGCCACTGCTGCTGGAATACTGCCCGGATCGCCGTGCACCCGCGATGGCCAAACAAGTGCAGGCTCACCCTGCTCGGTGAAGACGACGACGACGACGAAGAGGAAGCCGCTTTTTGAACAGCAGAAGGAAGCTTAGAGAAGAAGCTTCCGCAAGGTTCGTCGACCAACCCTCGAATTTTTACTAATGGGGGGGAGGGAGTCCGTCGAGCGAAAAATCGTCTTTCGTGCGAGTGAAAATCTGCCACCTGGGCCCCGGTATGTTCTTCGCGTGGCGCCCCATCATGTCTTGTGCGGTTTCGCTGGTCCGCAGAGCGTGCATTGTTGGTAGTCGGTTCTCCATCAGTCCAGTGTCGATAGTTGGTTGGTTCATTGTCGATGGTCCGTTGCTGAAGTCAGCTGTCACTGTCGTGAAGACCGCCGTCCTGATGAAGGTCGCCGTTGTCATGCATGTCGAGGCGGCCCTCCTGTGCAGGACTCCCGACCGCGTGGCGGTCGTGGTAGTCAGTGAGAAGGTGGTAGGCGTCGTAAGGTACATAGAGGGGGATGGCGGTGTGTTTGGGGGGGTTGGTGTTGTAGCCCGGCCAGAGGAGAACACCGAGACAGAGTAGGAGGAGCGCGGCTATCGCGGCTGCGACGGAGTAGAGGCCCCACCTTGGCGTGAAGAGTATGGCGCACTCATCAGTGTTATGTGTCCAGCAGACGATGGAGAGTCTCTTAATGAGACCAGGGATGAGTACTCTGACGCTGGCGAAGATTTCGTTGCAGTAGAAGCCGCCGATGAGAACGATCAGGGCGCAGAAGATGAGCGCAACGAGAGCGCTCAGTCGTTCGCATAGTACGCCCACCCGAAAGAGTTTGGCGCGGTTGCTGGAAGCCGTCTGCTCGCCCAGCCAAGGGAAAGGGCGCCTGAATTGGTGTTGCGCACGCGTGTGCGGTAAAATCAGGGACACCACCGCCAGCGCACCTGCAGCCGCGAAGGCGGCGACGGACAGCCGGAGCGTGTTGGAAAGCGTCATACTCATGCGCTCAATGGCGCTAACCGCCTGCATCACCTGTACATTGCCGTTTATATTCAGCAGCGTCTCCCATTCGCTCAATTGCGCCAACGGAATCGCCTTCTGGAACGTCTCCGCCACGTGGTTCGTAATCGTCACGGTCGTCAAAGTCCACTCCGTAGACACTCCCACCCGCGTTCCGTTGTTCGCAAATGGCTTAAAGGTTTTGGGAACCAACATGTCCACGTCCATCATAGGCGAACCCGTCGGCTTGCTGGCCAGCAATAACGTTACGCACGTCACTACCAAACCTCCAAATAACAAAGCCGACGGCTTGGGCATTCCCAAATATTTATAAAACCACAACAATGCCACAGTGCTTGACGTAATTATGGCGCTGTCGTTGAACAAAAAAAATCTGATCCAAACCTGACTGGCCGTCGACCCTGCTGCCGCAACGAACTAATCGACGGGGCCACCCAGACCAAGAAGACTGGAACAAGACAGCTTACCATGTGGATTGGCCACATGGATCGGATACCCGAAAGATCGGTCACGATGAGTTGATTGATTCTTCTACTGCAGGTCTGCCGCCGTTAAGGGGTTCTACCGCAGTTAGGGGGGTCTAACTATCAGTCGGTCCTACTGCTCTTATCGTCTTGCCGACTCATTATTTATATGGGGTGGTTGAGATTGACATCCCCTGTTTCTGGACTTCAGATATTGCTTGTTGCAGCACGCCAGGGGGACAAACGTATTTGCTTTGACTCGTTAGCGGCACTGGGTCGGTGGTGACAGTGGTCACTCTGACGGCATCCTCAAAGCCCCGCGGTAAGTTTGGGGGGCTATTCTGCCCGGCGTCGGCGCGCGTGGTTCCTGGGTGTTGGCTCGTGGTTTGACTTGAGCTTTGAGACTGGCCCATGGTGCGTTTATTTTGGGTGCGTCCACGTCTCCTGGATGTTAACGAACAGTGGCAGACCCGCCTCATGCCGGTAGACTTCTGCAATGTAAAAGTCTCGCAAGTGCCGTTGCAACCGTCGGTCCTCGCCGTTTATATAGTCCCAGACTTCGCGCGGCGCTGCGTTCTCCTTTACTTTCTCCGATACCGCCACTTTCTTCCGGAACAACTGCCGCTGAAAAGCTATCTCGTTCTTCAAGTACAAGCTTTGTCCCACCATTAAATGCGCCTCCGGCTCCCAGGTACAAGAACTGTACGACCACCCCTGCCACTTAACCAGAAAATAGTCGGTGGAATTCTGTGAGTCCCGCATCATTATCCGAATGGTCTCAACTTCACATTCCTCCTCGTCTGACATTATAGGAAAAAAGGAATTTATATTTTCGTTTTCGCGCGTGCACACACGCGCGCGCGCAATTTAAACTAACTAACTAACTGTTTGGCCGCGGAGACATGGGGCGCGGTGACATCATCGGGTCGTACCTGGGGCTCTGCAGGGCGGAGGGAGAGAGCGGCATTTGCGGCTCCTGCGCCATGCTGGTCACGAGGCCGATGGGCGAGTAGATCTGGGCGGTGGGCGAATACGCACCGGGGGACTGAGGATTTTGGGCGCCCATGCCGAACATGGGAGAAGACGGTGAGTAGACGGGCGAGGCGACGGCCCGCGAGAAGTTGGGGGACGTGGGGTTGGCAAGAGGGGACATGGCCATCGGCGAGTAGTTGCCAAGAGGACTCATCGGCCCTGCAGTAGGAGAGTAGGGCACAGCCGTAGGCGAGTAGGTTGGGCTCATGGGAGATCTCGGTGAGAAGGTGGGACTCATCGGCGAGGTGGGCGAGTAGGTGGGACTCATCGGCGAAGTAGGGGAGTAGGTGGGGCTCATCGGCGAAGTAGGGGAGTAGGTCGGACTCATCGGCGAAGTGGGGGAGTAGGTGGGACTCATCGGAGAGGTGGGCGAGTAGGTCGGACTCATGACGTAGCCGGGACTCATCATCGGACTCATGGGAGAGGCCGCGGTCGGGGAGTAGTTCCCGCCTTGGACAGGTGAGAACTGGCCAGAGGGCGAGAAGACCGGAGACACTATGTTTTGCCCAGTCGGAGAGAATTGTCCTGTCGGAGAGAACTGTCCGCCAGGGGAGAACTGGGCTGCGTAAAGAGGCGACTGCGGCTGCCCGCCGGGAGAGGAAATTGCGTAGGCTTGTTGGGTGGGCGAGAAGACCTGCATAGGACTCATTTGCCCCGGACTGCCGGCCAGCGGCGAGAATTGAGTGAGGCTGGGAGAAGCGATGGGGGAGCCCATATTGCTGAGAGTGGGTGAGAAGGGCGAGAATGGAGAAGCCGGGAAGTCGCCCAGCGACAGAGATGGCGCCAGTAAGCCTTCTTGCCCACCTGCTTGCAGCTGAAGGCCTGCGGCCGTGCTCGACTCGAAGTGCGTGGCCGGGTCCTTGAGCTTGGCGTCGTCGGTAATGATGTCCATGCAGCCGGTGCCGAAGCTGGCGAGTTGGCCCACAATTACGTTTTCCGTAATGCCTCGGAGGTAATCTACTTCCCCAAAGCACGCAGCCTGCATCAAAATCTCGACCGTCTCTTCGAACGAACACTTCGCCACACACCCGCGCTCAATACGGTTGATACCGTTGCGGGTAATGGGCATCAGGCCGCCGCGTTGCGTCATCACATCGCACAGGATGGCCAGGTGTCGGTAGTTTACATAACTGCCGTCGAAGGAAATGACAGCTCGAATTTCGCGCATGAGCATTTTCCGGGCGGCTTCCACACCCAGCGTCTGCAAAATCTCCACAATACTGTTGGACGTGGTTCGCTCAAATTCTACCGACTCCACGGGCAGTACAGCACTCAGGTTGCAGCCGTCAGTGTCCAGTACCCACCGTCCCCCCGTGATGGGGAAGCGACCTGTCTGCGAGTCGAAGAGCGCACTCTTGTCTTCGCGCATATAGACCTTAGTGATGTTCGGGATGCCGCGGACCGGCAAAGCACCCAGTCCGTGGTGTGCAAAGGCGTGTAGGAACTGCCTCTCTTCGTCCTCCGCGTCTCCTCCGTCTCCGCCAGACTTCTCCATGCCCACCTTGTGTGGGTCCCGCCTCACTCTAATGCGTAGCACTAGCTCTTCGTGATTGTCGTCTGTCCAGATCACGTCCAGGTCATCCGATTTAAACTCAGCAATCAACTTTTGCCCAATCTCGCGCATCGATAGGCCTTCCGTAATCAGCCGTTCCAACAGCTGGACCCTCACAACCCAATTTCCTAGACGAGACAAATCTTGCTCTTCCTCGCCAGGGAATTCGTAGTAGTCCCGCACCCACTCCTGGTCTTTTGCAACCACCGTGTTCATCGGGTCTGGGTCATAGACAAGTTGCATGGAGGCAATGACCTTCTCCAACGTTGTGAACTCTAATTGACTCTGTACTTCCTTGGCCAACACCGAATCTCTCGACGCAGGGTCCTTCAGATAAACTGTGAGGGAAGGAGTCTTGACCGCATTGGCCACGTTAATCAACTCCCTCAAACGTGGCACACCCAACGTCACGTTCTTACTACCCACACCCGCAAAGTGGAAAGTATTCAAAGTCATCTGCGTAGCCGGCTCACCAATAGACTGTGCCGCCAAGGCCCCCACGACTTCACCAGGAGGGGCAAGAGACCGTTGGAACTGACGCCCTACCTCTTTAAATAGCCAATCCAAAGCCTGAGGACCAAGCTTATCTTTCTCCATCAACTTCCGAGAATTCAAGTTCGTACGACAATTAATGGAGAAGAGCGTGGTAGCATTGTTCTGAGCTTCCTTGTAAATACTCGCGAGCATATTGTGCTGACTGAATACCATGAGATCATTGTTCACCAGCTTTTCCGTTGCCTGTACAATGTCGATGGGGCTCACCTTGGTCATGTCTTCAGCACCATATTTCGACTTAGCTATTTGAATTAGTCGAGGAATATTAACGGGTAGATGTTGTTTGGCTTCTCCGTCGCAGAAGATCTCTGTGCATAGCCGACGATGGCCCTGGACCAGTTGTTGCCATTCGCCCACAAGTATGGTTTGTTTCTCTATGCTGTACATTATGTCGTCGCGAACCTCCTTGCTTGGTATCCAACCGGTGCCGTAATCGGGGTCCCTAAAGTTGTGTTTGTAACGTTTCTCGATCTTGTCGTAGTCCAGTCGCAACAAGTCGAGCAGTTGGTCCTCCACGTACTCTCCTGCCATGCCATCCTCGCCGTACAAAAATTGGACAATCTCGCCGTTGGAGTTTCGCACAGTGCGGTCATAGGTGACCAACACGTCTTCCATAGCCTTCACGAGCCTTCGCTGAATGTAGCCGGTCTCGCTGGTTTTACAGGCCGTATCAATGATACCTTCGCGACCTCCCATAGCGTGGAAAAACAGCTCATGCGGGAGCAAGCCGGACAGGTAGGAGTTATAGACGAAGCCTCTACTATCAGGCCCGTAATCGTGCCTCAAAAAATGAGGCAATGACCGGTCCTGGAAACCGAAAGGTATACGCTTGCCCTCTACATTCTGTTGGCCCACACACGCCATGATTTGCGATATATTGATGGTGCTGCCCTTCGAGCCGGCATTGACCATAGAAATAATATTGTTCTTATTAGTGAGGTTCTCCGCTGCTATCCTACCGGAAGCCTCACGTGCCTGGTTCAATTCCTGGTTCACGCGATTCTCGAAGGACTCAAGCAGCGACTTACCCGGTTGCGTTTCCAATTTCCCTTGACGAGCTAAACGAATCAGCTCGTCCACCTTGACGTAGCTGTCATCGAGCGCTTCCTTTACACGACTAACGGTCTTGCTATCGGCGACAATGTCGCTAACGCCGACAGTGAACCCAATTGATACCAGCCAGTTGTTCACTACCTTCTGAGTAGAAGATAGGAAATCCTTTGTTTTCTCGGGGCCACACTGGTGCCATAAAACATGGATCAAGGACCCGCTGGAGGTGCCCGCGGTCCTTTTGCAAATAATGCCTGCCACATGCTCGCTATCTTGTATGATTATGCGGCCGTCGTTTGCTGATAAATACTCATTATCTTGCTTAAGACGGATAGCACCGTCGCGATGGAGCGTTACATGATTGGCACCACGCTGACCAGCCTTGAGAATCATGGTGATCAATTGCTTGCCGGTCCATAGCTTTTCGGGCTTGTATATTACAGGTGCAGGTAAGATACCGTCCCAATCACGAACCCAGAGACAAAGCCCCATCATTATAGGTCGGTCAATGAAAGTATCGCGACTGGTCATCTTGGCAAGTCCAAGCAGTGAGTCCTGCACAATACCCATAACGGGCTTGTTGCCCTGCGGCGACACGATCTGTTTGGGTACGAGACACAATTGTTTTATTTCCGCACGCGTTTCCTGAGACTGCGCCAAATGCAAATTCATCTCATCGCCATCAAAATCGGCATTGTATGGAGTGGTCACACTCAGATTGCAGCGGAATGTGCTCCACGGTAATACCTTAACCTTGTGACCCATGATACTCATCTTATGCAACGACGGCTGCCGATTGAAGAGGACGTAATCCCCGTCACGCACATGTCGCTCCACCTTATACCCGACCTCTAATTGCATCACTGCCGGGTTGCCGGCGCAGTGCCGCAGGTCGAAACGTGTCCCATCTGCCCGAGTAATGTAGCGGGCCCCAGGCCAATTGGCGGGGCCATTAGCAACAGTTTTGCGAAGCGCCTCTATATTCATGGATGTCACGATTTCCGGGAAGGTTAGGTTCATGGCAATGGAACGGGGCACACCCACTTCGTCCAGGCTGAGGTTCGGATCCCCGGTAATGACTGTACGGGCAGAGAAGTCCACTCTTTTACCCATCAGATTCCCTCGCAACCGGCCCTCTTTGCCTTTAAGACGCTCACGGAGCGACTTGATAGGCTTTTTGCTCTTGGTTACGGCCACGGGCAGTCCGGGGATCTCGTTATTCATGAGAGTGGCCACATGGAACTGCAACACGGCCACCGTCTCCTGTACCACATGCTGCGCCACGCCGTCGGACTCATAACGTTGTAGCTGCCGGTTGACTTTGACAATGTCCAAAAGCTTGAGCGTCAGGTCATCCTCGGACCGGTCGCTTCCGAATTGGACATAGGGACGCACACATGGAGGTGGGACGAGCAGCGTTTGTATGACCATCCAGGCGGGTCGCGCATACTCCGTATCGAAGCCGAGGAGCTTCATGGTCTCCAGTTTGATCTTACTGAAGACTTGTAACACCTCCTCAGCACTGAACACGCGCTTCGTATCACCCTCTAAGTCTTCTTCACGTACATTTGCACTGTTGCTAAAGTCGACCAAAATATTCACGTTATCTCGTCGATATTGCGGTTGCATCGAGCCACAACCCCCCTCTCCGCCACCTGGGTCGCAACATGACTTGGTACGGCATACCGCCAAAATACGCGCCAGCCGCGCCCGTGCGTTTCGAGCCCGCGACGCCTGCACGAATCTACTATCGTCCGCAGATGCCAACAGACGGCCGCATGAATAACAGACGCAACGCAACACTGTCAAAATCGCTGGCAGGAATCCAATGTTGAACACCGGCTTCGCCAAATCAATGTGTCCGAAGTGCCCTGGACAAGTCCGGAAGTCCATGTTACACGTCGCGCACGGCACGCGGTAATCCGTAGTACCCATCAACGGGTCATTCAGCCCGTGCGACTTCGCCAACCCGTTCTCGTACAACTCACTCTCCGTCACCTCAACCGCCGACGCTCGCCGCTGCAAACATAACCGTCCCAGTTTATCTCAACAAACGTCCTCAACGACCAATAGACGTCCCCCCAACCGTGTGCACACACGTGTGCGAGAAACATCCCACATTGTCTGAAACATTCCCCGTACAGCGCGTAACCGCATCCCGGTGCGTTAGCCCGGTGGCGGTGCACTTACTATCTGGTCTTGGTTGAACACGCCGAAACCAATACGCGATACCTTCTTTATCTCGCATGGTGAATAGGGGTTGTTCAAATCCACCAGCGTTGTCATATTTTTCGCCGAGAGAAATTGCCCCGGACTCCTTTGCCCCCTGTTCCGCCCACAGCCAACGAACAACCTAGCCAACTACAGGGGCGAACTGGCCATAGGATAGACCGGACTTCGGAAGTTGGTGTTGGCACACTGGGCAGTGTCAACTTAAAAAGGTCGGTGTTGTCGTGGTGTTTAAAATGGTTAAGCTGAGGGGAGCAGACAGGGGCATGGCCAGATCCTGGTCTATGGCGCGGAGGAAAGCTGCCACGACAATAGCCACCCGATACCCACCCCAATTCGTCTCGCACTTTCATACTTCATACCACTCAACATAGTCATACCATATACGTCATGTTCATGCAAATACATCATGTCCGAACATGACATTATGTCTGGTTAGCTGCTTTGGCTCTTCGTGCTTTTCCTTTAAATGATCGGAACCAGCATACTCTTCCTACACCATGGCTTTGTCTCGGGGACTTCGTAATCAGCTGATTCGTCTTAGCCCCATTCGAAATCAATGAGGGCCGATGCGCATCTCTTCCAGCCCCGGTACAGAAGGATCCGCTTAGGGCCCCCTGGATGTTACGCCTCCCCCTCCAGCTTCTACAGCGCCCTGAGGCGGATGCATGATGATAATCAGAAGCATCCCTAATGCCACCCTTGACGACCACGGAAGCAGAGACGGACCAATGGTTCATAGACCCCACGATCAACCACGCTCACGAATCACGGTCAGACCTCTTGTTGGCGGATGCCCTCAGAATTAACCAGCGTCCGTACGTACGTAGAACTATAATGATGCCCACAACATTTAACGAGACGCCGGACCGCATCTAGACGAACAAAAACGCAGGGCAAGGCAACGATACCGCCGATCATGACCATGGACGAGCATTGATGCGGCCGCTCACATGCTCTTGTCGGCCAGGATGGGCAGGATGCAGACATGCTGGAAGCGACGAACA